TTTCAATTATTTTGGTCAGTCTCGATTTCAATAGAGATGGCTGAAAACAGTGTTTCCCAAGTGTTATGCCTTCCTTTAAAAATGTTTTCTTAAATAATGCAGCATATCTGTATCAACAAAAACAATATTTTACGTCATACAAATGTACGCTATACTCTCTCTCTCTCTCTCTCTCTCTCTCTCTCTCTTCTCTCTCTACATCTCTATCTATCTATGACTGATTTTTTTTGACGAAGGTAGACCATAATGCGCGAAATGGGTCGGAGGTGCAAAATGGATGCGCTTTATTCTTGCGACGATTTTTTTCGGCGCTTCTACTCGATTCGATAAAGAGTAGGACTCGAGTGATGTATCACGATTACACGAGTTCTCGAATATATACGAGACGTTACACACGATACAGTCGACGATATTAGATTGTGAGGGACGATTAATTCATGAGGGTTTCTGGCTGAAATCGAATTTTTCTTCGGCGAAAAAGTTTTGATAAAAAATTGTATTTTACAATTTATCGTAAGTTTTTTTTAAATAAATATAAAAATAGAAAAAATATGTCTGTGTTCAGAACTTTAGAAGAAATATCCTATAAATAGCCTACACATATATTACAATAATTGAAAAAATCCATTATTTATTTTGTAATGAATTTTTTTTTAATTAAATACTATCATGGAATTTTATTCCATTCATCAGACTTCTACAGTAACAGAGTCCAGTTACAGAACGTGATTTGACAATTAATGAGAATAATCTGCAGTTAGAGATATGTTATTTAAAATAAACAAACCAGTTGGATGCTTCAATGTACTTTTATCTGGTACAAAAGTGAAGTCCTTTATGCCAGAATCAACACGGCCATTAATCTGGCTTGAAAACGCCAGATCTTCATACGAATAGTCGTCCCTCTCTTAGCATTCTGGCATGCTTTCGCTTTTCGATTCGTTAATTCGCGCATTAACCATGCATATGTTGTTCTTTCTCTTTCTCTCTTTCTCTAATTATCTGCTTATGCTTTTCATGCATTTATATCTTGCACGAATACTTCTGCACATTATACGCGTCACAATACATTCGAGTGTTTACACTAAACGTTCTGTCTTTTT